TCCAACTATGAGTCTTCTGATTCCTACCTGAGTTCACCTAATATTCAAATAGGTTGTAAAGATAAGTGTTGTAATACTCTTAAGTCTGTTTCTGTTTTAACTAAGCAAGAAGAACAAGAAGAATTGTTAATTGATCTGATTAGTAAAATAGAACACCCTGAGTTGAAATCTGAATATTTAAAGAAATTAAGAAAAATTATAGGCTATAAGAATACAACCCAACCTTCTTCTGTTATAAGTTTAAATTCTACATTAGAAAGGTTTAGTAAGAAAAAAGACATTACTTTGCATGATCTACACTCTGAGGTAAAGGCCGTAAAAAAGGAAATAATTGAATTACGACAATTAAGTCATAAACTACAAGCTGAAAATTATGATATCCGACAAGGTTTGAATTCTCTATTAGAAAAAGATTTGGTTAAGTCTGATAGTCAGCCAAGTAGCCCTACCCATTCTGAAGAAAATGAGAAAACTGATCACATTATTAGTTTAATTAATCATATTCCTTTTAGAAAATGGTATTCTAAAATTACTATAATTATTAAAGATTTTGAGCTTGATACTATTGCCTTATTTGATTCTGGTGCTGATTTGAACTGCATAAAAGAAGGATTAGTTCCCACTAAATATTATACAAAATCAACTGAATCTTTAAGTACTGCTTCTGGTAAAATGCTACACTTGAATTATGAGATTCCTAAAGCCCATATCTGCCAAAATAAAGTGTGCTTTAAAACTTCGTTTGTTTTGGTCAAAAATATAACTGATAAAGTAATCTTAGGTTTACCTTTTATAAGTCTTTTATATCCTCTACAAGTTGAATTTGATGGAGTTGTTGCCTGTCCTTTAGGTGAAAAAGTTAAGTTTGAATTTCTTACTCGATCTGAATTACATGAGTTAAAGACTGCACAAAAAAGTATTACATCTATAGCAACATCTTTGATTTTTGACAAAACTAATCAAATTAAACACTTACAGGAAGAAGTTCAAAATAAACGAATTGAGTCTCAGTTAAGTTCACCTTCAATGCAAAAACAGATTAAGGAATTTGAAGAGAAATTAATTACTGATGTATGTTTTGATTTACCTAATGCTTTTTGGCAAATCCAGATTACTGAGTCTGATCGATATAAAATTGCTTTTGTCACTCCCTTTGGTCATTATGAGTGGAATGTTATGCCTTTTGGTCTAAAGAATGCTCCTAGTGAATTTCAGAATATAATGAATGAAATTTTTAATTCTTACAGCCAATTTGCTATTGTTTATATTGATGATGTTCTTATATTCTCTGAGTCTATTGAGCAGCATTGGAAACATTTATATAAATTCTTGCATGTCATAAAAGCCAATGGATTAGTTGTTTCTGCTAAAAAGATTAAGTTGTTCCAATTGCATATTAGATTTCTTGGATTTAATATAAGTCAATCACAAATACAGCCTATAGATAGATCCATACAATTTGCAGATAAATTTCCTGATCAAATTATAGATAAGAATCAATTACAGAGATTTTTAGGATCACTCAATTATATTTCTGATTTTTATAAGAATCTGAGAAAACAATGTAAGCCCCTGTTTGATAGATTACAAACTAATCCTCCTCCTTGGTCTTCTATTCATACTGAGCTTGTTAAACAGATTAAATGTCATGTTAAGACACTCCCTTGTCTTGGCATTCCTACTACAAGTTCTTTTAAAATTGTTGAGACTGATGCTTCTGATATAGGATATGGTGGCATTCTTAAGCAACTTACTCCTGTTTCTTCTGAGCAAATAGTTCGATTCTATTCTGGTACTTGGTCTAAATCGCAGTTTTATTACAGTACTATTAAAAAAGAAATACTAGTTATTGTATTATGCATTACTAAATTTCAAGATGATTTATTAAATCAAAAATTTCTTGTTCGTGTTGATTGCAAATCTGCTAAACATGTTCTTGAAAAAGATGTTCAAAACATTGCATCAAAACAGATTTTTGCCCGATGGCAAGCACTTTTGAGCATATTTGATTTTGATATTGAATTTATTAAAGGCAGTGAGAATTCTATTCCTGATTTTCTTACCAGAGAGTTTTTACAGGACAATTATGGCAGGAAGAAAAATGAAAGAAAAAGATAAGCTTAAAGAACAGCACAATCTGAGCCCCCAATTACCCAGAATCCTCCCTGCCACCTTGAGCCAATACCCTGTTAAACATGAGTCTGCATCTTCTTCTTTTTCTAAACTTGAGCCTACATCTATTACACCTTTTCCTGGTTTGTCCCCTTTTCCTATAGATAATAAATTTAATCCTTTAGGATCTACCCTGAGCCAGATAAGACCCAACTACCAGTCTGCACTTACATCCAGCTATGATCCTTATCCTTTGCCTCCAAATGCAAGCCCTCTATCTTCTTCTACATTTCGACCTAAGTCTTCTCCTTATGTATCTAAATGCACTACTAATTTATTTGTTCTTCAGTCTCATATAACTGCATCTATGAATCCTGCTGCAATAGCTTTAAATCATTTTCCTCCTGGTTTTCATTTCCTTCCCCATAGTCCTTATAAGTCCTTAAAATATTACAGAGAAATTCTTCATGAAACAAAATCTGTAGATATTAAGCCTATACGTGATAAAATTGATCCCAAGAAAATAATCTACCATTCCTTATACATTTATCAAGTCTTGAGTCAAAAGAGTTGGGGTCCTCACCCCTATGAGTTAAGATCCCTTCCTTCCAAGCTTCAATACAATTATGCAGATTATGTTGAGTCCTTCTATTATATTTTCCTACACCAAACCCCTGAATTTTCACATTCTTGGTTTATAAGTTTTGATAATAAATTTAAAAATGATCAGCTTCCCTACTGGTTTCTTCACTGGTGGGATACTCATGGTCCTGTATCTGAAATCATCCCCTCTGCAATCACTGAGCTTATTACTACATTCTCTGCTCGAGTTAAGCTTCCTGAGCGTGATCTATTTTTTCCTTCACCCTTGCTATTCTTTACCCGTTACAAAATACCCTGGATTATGAAATGGAATTATCATGCAGATTGGGAGAAGAGATTCTTTTCTCGTCATTTTTCAGTTAAATGGTGGGATCGTTTTGATGTCCACCGTATATCTGAATATTTCTACAGAGATTTCCCGGCACTACCTCCTAAGCCTGAGCCCAAGCCTAAGCCTTCTTCTTCTCAGTCTTCCCAAATTTCTACTGAAGGAAAATCTAAAGTTGAGCTGAGAGATCTAGCTAAACAGTTACTTTTGCAAGCTGAAGAAATGCAAGATGATGATGAAGACAATG